TTATACAACATTCCTAAAATTCTGATCTGTCCTGGCTATCAGCCATAATTCTAAATATTATTTTAAGGTGTCACAGAAATAATAAGTTTCTCTGTCAATTGTCATTTTTAAGTCTTTCGTTGTTTACAGTCAGTTGTTTTACTCTGATGCCTTTTGCTTTTGCAAATATGTGTCACCTTTGGAGGGATTCATGGAAAGGACTCTGACACTTACTCTGGAACACAGTTTTCTGATAAACTTTCAGATCTTAGAACAGAACTCTGGGTAAGAAATTACAGAAATCTAATGGAGAAACTGATGACCCCATAAAACTGCTAACAGATGATTAAGATCAAGAACTGATTATACAGGACTGAATGAACTGAGGATGATAATTTTTATGACTTTTATTTGAAATATTGTTGATTTTTTGATGTTTTGGTTTGTTTTCTCAGATTCAAGAAAATCTTTTTCTCTTTTCTCTTATGCTAACTATGGCTTACAACAATTTGGTGAAATTATACCTTTGTGAGCAAAACTGAAACATTTATCTTCTTCTCCCTACCTGATCCCTCTAGAGTTTGGAAACCTAGTAAGTGAGTGAGTATGGTTATTTCATGGCAATATAGTTATTTGCATAAGTTCAATAAGAATCTGTTCTCCTTATAACAGGACACATTGCTTATCTTACCAAAGCTTTGACTGGAATGTCATATTTGAGAGAAACATACAGACTCGGATATGACAATACTGCCTTTGAGAAATAAGGTTGACTTTCTGAAATAAGCCACTTGGAAATATGGGCCTGGTACCTTGTTTACAGAGATTCTGGCAATCTTACCTGGTAAGTAAGGAAGCTTGCTTATCTGGCAGGTGCAAGGAACCTCGAAATATTTTGGGGAATCTCAAGAAAGGAGAGAAATCCACCCAAACCTGTAGGTATTGCAGGCAAGGCCTGATGGCACAAATCCTTGGCTTGGCTTTTCTGGCCTCAAGAGGCCTTTACAGTTCAATCTGAGATTCCTCATAAAAAAATTCCAGCAAAGCAGATTTAAGAGCCTATATGATCAGTTGCTATTCTTGCTGCACTTATGTAAATAATTGGGCCAAGTTTCTTGAAACTAAACTTATTTTGCAAACCAATTAGTCTTAATTTGTCTATCTTTGATAAAAATTAGGGTGATTTTAGAGAGAAGAACTATATTTCAGTGAAAAACTGTAATACACATTTGTGGATATTAGATCCTAGTTTTGTTAATTGTCTTTGAGGAGTTTTTTTTTGTACCTGTGAGCTGGACTGGATCCTGAATTCTTCTACTGAAATGCCTGGTTACAAATTTCCAAACTAATGGTTTCAATTTTTTTTTACCTCATTTTCATTTGGAATCATTGAGAATTGAACCTGCTCTTTTTCCTGAAGTCCTGCAAACTAAAGCTGAACAACTTGATAGAAACTTGAGAGATTCCTGTCTGTTGCTGTGTAAGCTGCAAGCCACCTGAATGCCCGATGACATCATCAGAGACGTTTCAAGCTGCTAAAGATGCTTTGACTCTGACATCTAGAAGTCGTCTTGACTGGCTGCCTCCTGGACTCAGGAACTAGTTTATAATTTGCTCCAACCATTAACCTTGTTTTTCTTTTATTTCCATAGAAATACTTATTAAATACCTGATTGCTTGCTTCCAAAATATAGGCCTAACTTTGGGAGCCCACCTGTATCGCTGCCTTCTAAAATGACTTTAACTGGACTGATCTATTACCAGGACTAAGAAATGTGTTCAGTGAGATGAAACAATCTACCACTCAGCTTCTGGACTGTGAAACTTCTTAAAGTTTCAAAGGTGGGACTGTGGGGACCTGGAATTGGCCACCCCAAGATGTGTCTCTGGACACATCAGGATTATTTGAGGCTGATTGCTTTTGATGAACTGGGACAGGGAAGGAGGCTCTGAGGAATGGAACTTGCCCTTTGTTAGGACACATTTACATTTGTAAGGTAAATCTCTATCTGTAAAAAGGTGCCTCCCTCTCTGTACCAGGAAGAAGAAAGGAGATGACCTTCTCTCTAGAAACTCTTGATCAATGCCAAAGGCAAGGACTGAAATCTGCATTTTATTGTGCTAGTCTGGTAACCTCCTGTAACTGACTTCCCTGCCCCTCCCAACATTGGCATTTCTTTAAGGATTAAGCATCTTTCCTTGGGCTGGGAACTGATTGCTGAGCTCACCTGACAATAGACTTGCCTCCTGCTGTGCCCACCAAGATAGTGGACCCACTACCTGCTGTGTCCATCAAGTGCTGTGCAGACAGGACAGTCTTGTGACTATTGTGGGAGGGACATTTCAATCACATGTGCAACACCCTGTTTGGGGGTATATAACCACTTTGTGCACCCCACTTCTTCGGTGCCCTTTCTTTCTTCGGGAAGAAAGTCTCCGGGCCATGGTTCCTCATAAAGCTTTGTTTAATTTTCTCTTGCTATTTTGTCTCATGTGAATTTAATTCGTTCTCCGGCCAGAAGAACCCACATTTGGGAAGAGGAAATGTCTTCCTCCCCTACATATACATGTTATAAAGCTTTGTCTGATTTTATCCTGTTATTCTGCCTCATGTCAATTTAATTCGTAGCCCAGCCAGAAGGACCTAGAGAGAGTAGAGAAAATGTTCTTCCTCCCCTACACAGAACAACCTTGTGGTTAAACCCAGGGTCTTTGAGCTTGGGCTGATCAGGCTAGTGTGGACTATGTTAGTTTGTTCCTAGAAACAGTTGCCAGATGAAATACAGGCCTAAAATTCAAACTTCAGATAAACAAAGAATAGTTGTGTGGTATAAGTATATCCTGTGGAATATACTTATACTAAAATATTATTGTTTATCCAAAATTCAAATTTAACTGGGCATCCTGTATTTTTATTTGCTAAATCTGGCAACCCCAACCCCAGGCAAATTCTAACCTCAGTTTTCTCACCTATGAAATGGGGATAATGAAAGGACCTATGTCGTAAAGTTGTGTGGATGAAATGAGATAATCCATGCAGACTACTTACCACAGGGTATGAAAGATGATGAGAGCTCAATAAGTGTTAGCTCTTAGCATTATTTTATACAGGTATGTCTTAGGATAAATTCCTAGAAGCATGCTTTAGTTACAGAACTTCCAGGCTTAATTTAAGACTTCTCTGAGCATTTGATCATACCCAAAACTGTGTTTTGTTAAAAGCCTTGGGCACGTTAGCAGACATTTCTCAATTAACTCCAGAATACAAATCACATTTTTAAATTTCCGTACAAAAACAAAAAATTGCCACCTAAAGGCAAGTAGGGATTTCTTTTCTATCACACCAAATACTTGGGTGTTGATTCTGACTTGTTTTCTATTCCAGAGTCACTGAAACAATATTCGAGAGGAAATGTTTAATCAATGTGGTACATAATTTCTAAGACTCACCCATGTTATCTAGTACCTGAACTAAATGACATTACAACACTAAGACAATATTGGGCCCATGGCTCTAAGAAAACGAACATTTCTGTCTTTTTCTTTTGACAAAACTGATGTTTACAACTTCCTCCTTATTGCTTATCAAAAAAAATTATTCTCAAATTTCAAAACTAGAAAAAGTTTTTACTTCAAGAAGATACTCCATATTTATGCAACTGTAATTCTCTTTTTTCTTTCTGCTGCAGAATTTCTATTTTACATTTTACTCTAGTTTCAATAGATTCATGGGTTTATTATAATCTTTTTTTATTACTTTCTAATAGTAGGTAAGGTATACATATGGGACAAGAGTATAATCATAATGTGGCGCTTATTTTGTGCTGTCATATTGACCTTTTAAAGGCCCAGTCAAATTATCCTGGCCATTGGCAATAGATGAGCACAGGTTTTCCCCATGTCTTTCTGGCAATAGATTTTAGAATATTTTGTTAGATACACACGTATAAAGAGATTATAAACTGATTCTTTTTTCGTTACATTGTATGTGTTCTCTCAAAGAACCATGAAGGGAGGGACATTTGCCTTCTCCATTGTCTGCTTCGTCCCAGCACCTAGAAGGATACAGGGCCTGGGATGACCACACAGTTGTTGACTGAGTGAGCATAACAGATGAGTCAAGTTGTTCCCTGCTGTAGAACACAGCTTATACTTTCTGCAGCACAGGCGATGTTTAATGATCTTATCCTAAGTGTCCCCACTCCTTTCAATGTGCTCCGTCCCTCATTTTCTAATTCTCTTTGTCTTTGTGAATTAAATATATTTCACTTTCCTAGCTATCTTCACCAGGGTGAACACAACAGCCATCCCTCTAACTTGACAGAAGTACTTTAGACATCTGGGAGTGTGTTTACAGAGGACAGATACAGAAGCTAGCTGCTTCTTGCCCTATCCCAGCTAAACAGTTCTCAAGTCAGAGCACAGAGTATCAACAAGGCGCATAATCCAAGAAGCAACAGGAGAGCTGTAGGCCAGAGTCATAGGAGGGAAAAGGCAAAATCAGAAGCAGGGAAGAAGGAGTGTCTCCAAGTGACAGAAAAGCCAAAAGGAACAAACGAGGAGGCTGGCCTGGAGAGCTGGCCCAGGACATCTAGGCAAGTGGACTGGACATCAGAAACTCAGGAACCCAACCAAGCAAGGTGTCAGTGCCAGGATCTACACTGGCAGCAAGAAAGGAGGTCAATACAGTTGATCCGCAGTTATTATGTATCATGTCCCAAGCAATGCCCTCTGTGGATGTCTTTCTGGGCATGCCACCAGGTCAGGTCATTTGTTCTGGAGTGACAATGGAGTTGGCAAAGACCCCAAGAGTGGAGCAGAGCCTATGGTCTACCAGGACCAACAGAATTTTTCAAATAATTGGAGATATTGCACCGTAGCTCAATTGAGTATATGATAGAGTCTCAACCGCGTGACAGCGGACATTTGTAATGTTCAAGGTCTTGCCACCCCATAAATTTATGGCAGACGAGTAAAACGAAGTATTACCAGCTATCATTAAAGGAGGAAATAAAAGGCACTCCTGTTGTAGACTGCTCTGGTTGTATTTCTTATTGCATTTCACATAATTTCATGAAGTTGCAAACTTGCATTCTTCTTTATGTTGAGGGACTAGGGGCTTTTTAACCCTTCATTAATGAAAATGATTTGTTCTCCTTTTATCGGTGGTCCCTAGATTCCTCCAATTCTGGGAAGATGTTGTCCAAATACCACTGAAATGACTTGCAACCCAGTCGTTTCCTTAATTCTACACGTTCACTAATGTTTCCATAGGCAACAGATTTCAGACCAGGTCTTCGTAAAAAAACCTGCTCCTAAAAGGAAATAAAAAGTCATTTCATTAAGTCAAATGAATTTTAGCAATTAAATCATGATATCTAACATAGCAATATATATTTTCATTATCTGAACTAAAAAACAAAAACCTTTGACATCCTCTGTGTAGAAAGGGCAGAGAAGCACGTAGGACCTGGGATTCACTCACCCCACACACATTCACAGTATGTGCTGTGACTGACCACAACAGAGGTGGCTGTCGTAGCAGGATCCAGGAACCTGCTTCTTGGGAGCTCAAGAATCACAGCCAGCTATTGTAGTATATCCCTTTTCTCCTACTCTCTCAATGATACTCAAGGACAAAAACTCTCACTCCCAAGTCCCAATCAACACTTCCATGGTTTCAGCAATGGGGATGGTGTGGCGGCTGAGGGCAAACTGACTCTGGAGAAAGACAGCCTGGGTTCACATTCTGGCCCTACTTTTATTAACTATGTGACCTTGGCCTCTACCCTCACGAGGTGGTTGTGAGGACTGAATGTTTTAATATGTGCAAAGCCCTTGGGAGACGAAGGCTGGCACCTAGTAAGTGTCGGGTCAATGTCAGTCATTATTGCCACACCTGGTTAGTCTTTTATACACTCTGATTTAAAGAAGCACCAAGTATGAGTGTCTAATGGACTCAATCTGCCCCATATTAGAATGGTATTCTAAGTAGACCGAAGCTTCCTTAAAAGCAGAACCCTTGTATTTTCATCTGTGTACTCCCAGTGCCTGGCATATAGTATAGTAACACTGCTGAATGAGAGAAGGAGCTTGCTTATCTAAATTAGCATATTCTGGGCATGCCATGTTGGATTCTCCCCAAGTATCCCTGACCGCTATAGGTCTTTGCCATCATTTCTTGCACTCCTAGTTCCCCAGGGTAGACTGGTGCAGAGGACGGGCCTGAGGTGGGGGAAGAGTGTCATCATTCTGGACTGAAGGCAAAGAAGACCTTAGACAACATCTCCAGCCCAAAGCCCTCTCTTGTCCAGTGTCACTCACTAGATTTCCCAATGTGCCCTGTCATACAATCCATGATTTAATGCCAAATGCTATTTGCTTTTTAAGTTAGGTAAAATTTTTTATCACTATATCTTCTGTGAAATTCAGTAAACTACTCAGTCTTAGCTGTGTTCAAGTCAACTATTTATTTACTTATTTATTTATTTTTCTTTTGAGGAAGATTAGCCCTGAGCTAACATCTGCCACCAATTCTCCTCTTTTTGCTGAGGAAGGCTGGCCCTGAGCCAACACCTGTGCCCATCTTCCTCCACTTTATATGTGGGATGCCTGCCACAGCATGGCTTGCCAAGTGATGCCATGTCCACACCTGGGATCCGAACCGGCGAACCCCGGACTGCCGAAGTGGAACGTGTGCACTTGACCCCTGCCCCACTGGGCCGGCCCCCTCAAGTCAACTATTTAAACTGTGACCAGAGTTCACAGGGAAAAAAATCAACAAACATAAAAATAAGCTCAATGTCTCCTATAATTAAATAAATGCAATTTTAAACAGTGAGATATCATTTTTAACCTGTTAGATCAGAAGAAATACAAAGTTTAAGACCAGGGTTGGAAAAGTTGTGAGGAGACAGGACCTTTGAAATACATTTGATGGCATTTAAGAACAGTTTGGACATTATTCATCAGGATTTAAGATGCACTAACTCGTGGCCTAGCAGGTCCATGTCTTGAGATTTATTCCAGAGATATATCTGCACACCTGCACCATAAGGTATGTGTAAAAGATGTCCATTTCAGGCGTGTTAACAAATCACTAAAAGCCAAGATGATCAGAATGTTTATCAGTGGGGGATTATGTATTAATAGGATCAATTTTAGTAGATCCATTCAAAGGAAGTGTTTAAAAGAATGATATACTTAAATGTTCTGATTTTGAAAGGCTTTGAAAGTATGGTTTTAGAGTATACTAACAGAAAAAATGCAGAACAAAATATTGTGCAAATCTAGTTATATAAAAGAAAAGGGCGTATACTTGTGTGTATTAACAAGAAACTATAAACAGTAATTTAGTGATTACTTCCGAGGGTGGAACTACGAGCTTAGAAAGTTTACTTTTGACTCCATAGTCTTCGCTATTTTCTGGCTTTTTAAAATGAGTATGTTTTACCTTTTTGAAAATCAAGAAATGTAATGAACATACAAAAAGCACATGAAACTTAAATGTGCAACTTAAGGAATTGTTGAAAAATCCACCCCAGTGACCCTGACTAGGTCAAGAAATAGAGCCTTACCAATGTCCCAGAAGCTGCCCGCCCTTCCCTTCCTGATCAGAACCCTTGCCTTTAGTTTTAAATGCTATCCTGATGATGTATTCATTCCTTTGCTTTTCTTTCTAGCTTTAATGTCTAATTATGCATGCGTAGATTATATAGTTTAATTGTACCCATTTTTAACTTTGTAGAAATGGAATAATACAGTATATACTCTATTGTGTTTGGTTGCTTTTGTTCACCATTATGTCTTTAAGATTTACCCTATTGGGGCCAGCGTGGTGGCTGAGTGCTTAAGTTCGCGCAGTCTGCTGCAGCGGCCCAGGGTTTTGCTGGTTCGAATCCTGGGCGCGGACATGGCACTGCTCATCAAGCTATGCTGAGGTGGCATCCCGCATGCCACAACTAGAAGGACCCACAACTAAAATATACAACTATGTACCAGGGAGCTTTGGGGAGAAAAAGGAAAAAATAAAATCTAAAAAAAAAAAAAAAAGATTTACCCTACTGTTGTATGTATATCTATAGTTGGCTAATTTTCGTTGTTGTGTAGAATTATACTGATTAAATATATCATATTTGTCCATTCTACTCTTGATGAGCATTTGGGTTGTATTCAGTTTTGGCTAACACAAACAATGCTGCTCATAAACATTCTTGTTCACATGTTCTGGTGCACAAAAGCACGCACTTCTGTATTGTATATACAAAAATGGAATTGCTGGATCATGGGATATTTGTATGTTTTTCTTTACTTAATGTTGCCAAACTGTTTTCCCAAGTGAGTTTGCAATAATTAAGACTCCTTCCAGCAGTGTCTGAAAATTCCTGTGCTTGCCAACACTTGGTCCTATCAGACTTTACATTTTTTGTGAATCTAGCTGGCTATGTAGAAATACCTCATCAAGTTTTTAATTCACATTGCCCTCATTACTAAAGAAATTGAGTGTTATTATGTTTATAATTCAGAATAATTAAAAAAATATTAAATCAAGACCAGGGCATGTAATGTCGCAGAGAGATTCTTACATATTTCTACTCATGCGTCTGAAATGAGATCTTGCTGGGGTTACTGTCCATATTAGCTTGTGCGTAGATGGACAACTTTCAAGTTAAAATGGAGCTGCAGCTACATGTTCTCTCTATATGTACCCTTTTAAGTCCTGGCATAGGGTTTAATCCTAGGGGAGATGCACAAATGAAGGGGCATGACTTTGGTATAGAAATTTTGACTATTGGTAGAAAAGAGGTAGTGGAGGTTATTGCGTGGTCCCCAGATCAGCAGCAGCTGCATCACTTGGGAACTTGGCAGTGGAGAAAGAATCTAAAGAGTTGCCCGTGAGGACGGGAACAGAGAGAGGTGCTTGCTTCAGGGAGCAATCCTTGCGGGGAAAAATAGATCTAGGCAAAAAATATACAAAAAAAGGACTTCTTGTGTTGGTTGATTTGCTTCTGAGAAACTTGAGTATCCCTAGGAATTAAAGCAAAAATTAAGATGCAAATGTGGCAGCTTAGAATGAACTAATTGAGAAGAAGGTCTGGGGTTGGGGGGGTGAGTGGTTGAAAGGGTCCCGCTAATTTAAGGAAAACAGAGAGAAGAATGAAAATTAATATCTGGAAAGGTAGTAGAAAGCTTCTTTAGAGCAAGCCTGCGCTGTACTCTCACTCAGCTTTCCAAATCAGAGATGCATCCTTCACCTTGTGTTCATCCAGCCAAACATGCACCATTCTGAGATTGTTATATGTCATGGCTTTTAAATATTCCCGTTTATTTTCAATGCGTTGCTTATCAATATGTCCCACTCGAGAGCAGGGGAGTACAAAGAGCTGGCCTCCACACATCCAGATCTAGACGGGAGAAAAACAGAAAACATGTTAATGTACGTTTGCTAGGAACAGGCAACTGCTGAATTTTTTTTTTAAAGATTTTATTTTTTTCCTTTTTTCTCCCCAAAGGGCCCCAGTACATAGTTGTATATTCTTCGTTGTGGGTCCTTCCAGTTGTGGCATGTGGGACGCTGCCTCAGCATGGCTTGATGAGCAGTGCCATGTCCGTGCCCAGGATTTGAACCAACGAAACGCTGGGCCGCCTGCAGCAGAACTCGCGAACTTAACCACTCGGCCACGGGGCCAGCCCCTGAATTTTTTTTTTTTACAAACATAAGAAGAGCTAACATTTATTGCTTCTTATTTCACAACAACCCTATCATGTAGATACTGTGATTATTTCCATTTTACAGATGAAGAAATTAATACATAGATTGGTTAAGAAGCTTGCCCAGTGACAGAGAGCTGGTAAGTGGCTGGGTGCAGGGTTCAAATCTAGGAAATCTGGCACCATAGCCAGCATCTAAAGACAAAGAGATTCCGCCTTTCTCATACATGACCGATGCTGATGCTGATTATCTATGAAGAATGGCAAGATATTTTGTCTTAAAATATTCTCAAACAATATTCTGAGAGTAATGTTTTCTGAAGTAATTAGGTGTCACTGAATGTAAGCAAGTTAACAAGAGAAATGCCGACCGTGGCTGAATTCAATTATTCATCTTTTTGGTACTTAAAATACTTCATAACACTTATTTTTAATAACTTTTTTTATTACACTAAAGTAAAATATGATGATTGAAAAACTGGCAAATGTAGAAAAACACAGAAGAAAATAAAAATCACTTGACACTTTGTTAGTTGATATTAATCCAGGTATGTATGTCTATACACATATATACACAACATTAAGATAATTTGCTTTTTAAAATTTGATGTTATGTGAAGTTTTTTTTTAAAGATTGGCACCTGAGCTAACAACTCTTGCCAATCTTTTTTTTTTCCTGCTTTTTCTCCCCAAATCCCCCCAATACATAGTTGTATATTCTAGTTGTGGGTCCTGCTAGTTGTGGCATGTGAGATGCCGCCTCAACGTGGCCTGATGAGCGGTGCCATGTCAGCGCCCAGGATCCGAACTGGCAAAACCCTAGGCTGCTGAAGCGGAGCGCACAAACTTAACCACTCGGCCACGGGCCTGGCCCCTGAAATTATTTTAAAAGTCTTATATTGTTTGGACATTTTGACAGTTTCCAATTTTTATCATTATAAATAATACCACGTATAATATATGTACTTATAAATCTTGTGCACACAATTTATACATCTTACAGTGTACTTGCCATGACTCTTTTTGTTCACTCTAATTTGGTGATTATTGCGTTACCCCCAGAGAAGCAGAATCAGAAAATCCTTGGGCTCACCCAGACCAACCGAACCAGGAACTCTGGGGCGAGGGCCAGCAATCTGTATTTTAACCAGCTGTTTAGGTGATTCTGATGCACGCTAAAGTTTGAGAACCACTGTTATAATTGATCAAGATCACATATCCCACTTTTATAGATATTTTATTAAGAAATCCACCTAAGCATTTGGGGAACAGTAATAGGAAATTAAGACTCACTGAAAACAACACTCAGAAGTACTATGGTGAAATACATCACTCAGACAGCCAGAGGGGATTATGTTAAAGAAAATGGAAAAGCAGAATTTCTGATATAGAAAAATGTTCATCTAAGTCCTTCTCTAAAATGGATGGCACAGTAGAAAAACACTGAGACCAGAAATCCAAAGAATTAAGTTCTTTTATCAGCTCTGCCACATGCTTCTGATCAGACATATCCTCTCTGGGTGTAATTTTCATCTGGAATTGAGAACTAAATAGTAGTTCATCTAAGCTACTGTTCGGGGATGCTTTGTTATGTAGCAAATGCTAAGTGATACTAGCTATGTATAACGTCTTGTTCTCTTTTTTAAAAGTGATAACTTAAGGAAATTTGGAAAATTATTAATATCTGTTTAATAATTAGAACAGATACAGAAGTGTTTATTATTTTTGGTACATTCTTATATGTTTGAAATGTTTCTTAATTAAAAAAGAAACCCAGCTATGACTAAAGAATAGAAAACCAAAGCCAAGTAACCAAAGTGATAAAGGAGGACCAGAAGTAAAAATTTTATCAAAAAACTTTCTTAAAAATCCAACTGAGGGGAACGATGACAATTTAGCGCAGTCTCCACAGGGGCCGCGTGGCTGCTCTCTTCCTCTGAATCATTCTCCAAAGGCACTTGATCCATCCCGGCCTGCCTTTTACTCTGCTCATTGTCCAGGTTGGCGATGGTCAGATGTCTTCCTCAGATATACTACTGGAAGTAGTCTGTCCAGCCCCCAGTTTCTACTAATATTATTATTATTATTATTATTATTATTAGCAGCAGCAGCAGCAGCAGCAGCAACAGTAGTAGTAGTTTCCCACTGAGAGAGTATAATGCAGTAAAGAGCATGGACTCTGGGGCAGGTCAGCATGATTCAAATCCTCTGTGAACTCTGTGATCTGGGGCAAGTGACTGAAGTTACTCAACCTATTTGTGCCTCAGTTTCCTCCTCTGTAAAGTGAGAATAACCCACCTCATGGGATTGTTACTAGCATTAAATAATTTGATACTTGTAAGTGCTTAGAGGGTGTCTTTGTAACATACACATGCATCTCTGCTGTAGTGAAGTGTGGTAGATTGCAAGAGGGGCCACAAATTCTTTTCATTCCTGTATGCACACTTCTTTGCAATGTAACTTTGCACCCCGTTTCATCAAGAGGTGAAGCTCATTTCTCCATCCCTTGAATCTGGTCTTGGCCTCATGAGTTGCTTTGGCCAATGGGACGTTAACAAATATGATGCAAACAGGTGCTTGAAAAGCATTTGCAGCACGTTGAAACTTGCCTTCTCTTGCTATTCTTGGGAACCTTGTGACCACTTCAATGTGAGTGAGCCTGGGCTAGCCTGCCTGATGATGAGAGACAAATGGCCAAGTCATCCCCATTGCCCCAGCTATCACTGGGCCAGTGTCCATGTAAATGAGGCCAACCTAGGCTAGCCAGCACAGGCTGAGTCTCCAGATGAACATAGATGTATAATCAAGACCAGTGGAAATCAGCCATCCTGGTTATGTCCAGAAGAACCACTTTAGCAACACAATGAATTATGAGGAATAACAATTGTTTGTTGTTTTAAGCCACTGTGTTTTGGGATAGTTCGTTAGAGAGCAAAAGCTAACACAACACACATGAGGGAAAATGTTTCTCTTAACTCCAGGTTTACTCATCAAGTAAATAAGACATCCATCCATTTAGTTGCCCATTCCAGAAACTTGGTGTAATGGATTGAAATATTGTTCAGCAGATATAATCTCACTCCCCATCCCGCACCATGGGGCAGAGTATGCTTCTCTGACACACTGACTTTGGGCTTGTCCATTCAACATGCTCTGGACAATGGAATGTGAGCAGACATGATATGTACAGAGCTTTAAATATGCTGTGTGGGGGGCCGGCCCAGTGGCGCAGCGGTTAAATTCGCATGTTCCGCTTCTCCGCGGCCTGGGGTTTGCCAGTTCGGATCACGGGTGCGGACATGCCACCGCTTGGCAAGCTATGCTGTGGTGGGTGTCCCACATATAAAGCAGAGGAAGATGGGCATGGATGTTAGCTCAGGGCCAGTCTTCCTCAGCAAAAAGAGGAGGATTGGCAGCAGATGTTAGCTCGGGGCTAATCTTCCTCAAAAAAAAAAAAAACAAAACTCTGTGTGGTTTGGCCTGAGTTTTGTATTCCTGCCCATCAACCTGAGAAGACTATGCCCTGAGTTGCTACTACTCTTAGAATGATGAGGAGACCCAAACCAAACTCAGAGACTAGAGCCCACCCCAGCCAATCTAAATTCTGAGGCAGAGACATCCTGGACAACCCACAGACATAAGAGAAAAGTAAATGCTTATGGTTTTAAGCCACTCAGTTTTGAGCTGCATCATAACATAGCATCATCGTGGCAGTAGCTGACTGATGATTGGGTTGTCCACAACATCCCTTTTGCTCAAAATCCACGCCATCCGTCTCCAAGTTCTGTCCGTTCTATTTGTAAATATGCCTGGAATCTGTCCAGTTCTCTCCATCTCCATTGCCACTGCTCTAGTTGCATCCACTGTCACCCTCTTTTCAGATTTTTGCAAGAAACTACCGGTCCCCCTGCTTTTCCTCCACTATGTCAGTCTCCACAGCCACTGTCACTGCCTTGCTTAAAACATATCTGTGGCATTCCATTGCATGTAAGACACAACCTAAATCCTCGCAAGGTGCTGCAGAGTCCTTCCCCTGCCTCCCTCTCCAGCCCCATCTTGCCGTTGTCTCTTCACTCATTATGGTCCAGCCTCACTAGCCTTCTCCATTGACACATAGGGGTTGGAAGGCTGTCCACTTTCTGAGTCAGTGGGCAGAAATTGGGGCATTACTAAGCACCGTCTTACTCTTTTTCTGTAATCTGTATTTGTGAGGTGAAGTAAGGGTACATCATGTGCCAAAGCCAGGGGAGGATTTTCTCAGTCCTTCCATTGGTCTCACAGTCATGAGGGTGCCACCAGATTCAGGCTGCCCGTTAGTTTTAATTTCTAGTGGGATCTCATCTTTTCCTGTCTCAATAAACATCTTAGCAGAAAGCTAGGAAAGGCTGCTGGCCAGATACCATTTCAGTTAGAACTCTGGGACAGCTGTAGCATATAAAGAAGGGAACAAACACTGACTACGGGTGTGTGAGGTGGCAGACACTATATTAGACACTTTATGCACATTGTCTCAGTGCATACACACAATCACACTGTGAGGTGTGCATTATTCTGTTCATTTACACATGAGGCCCCTTAGACTCTGACTGGTTCAACCATTCAACAAATATGTCTTGACCACTTTTTAACATGATTGATGTACCAGGTGCTGAGGACAGTTTTTAACAAGTCAGACCTTGTTCCTGCCCTCGAGGAGCCGACAGCTGGGTGGAAACACACAGTTGGCAGGGACCAGTGCAAAATAAAAATGGAGTCTCTGGTTCAAAAATCATTAAAAATTTCAAGATGGCAACAGCAAAGCATTAAACCAAGTGTAGGGTCCTTATAAACATGGTACCATGTGCAACCACACGGATCACATGCCCACATAGCCTGCCTTGCTCAGACAGTCAACAGACAACTGCAATATAGCACAATCAGTGCTATAATAGGTAGAGCGTGCAGAGGAGAATGGATCCCAGTCTTGGGTGTGTGTGTGTGTGTGTGTGTGTGTGTAGGGGGAGGGAGGACAAAGTCAAGAAAGCCTTCCTGAAGAAATTACATCTAAGCTGTAGCTATGGACTATGATGGTGGAGAAAGAAGAAGGTGGACAAAGACAAGCGATGATTTAGAGGAAGAACTGACCAGATATGGTGAGATGACATGGGGCATAAGAGGGAAAGCAGAGTCCAGAAAGGTACTCAGGGGTGTGTGTGTGTGTGTGCGTGTGTGTGTGAGGTGTGTGAGGTGTGTAGGTAAGGGGGTAGCATGTCAGCCACCCATAGAGGGACTATGGGAGGAGGAATGGGTTCGAGAGAGTAGAAAATAATTCGGTTCTTGAAAGGTTTAGGTTTAGCATACCTATGGGATGTCCAAATGAAGGTAACCTGTAGGTGATTGGACACACCAGCTTCTAACGCAGAAGGAACTGAGGAGGAGTTAGAATTGCTCTCATCAGCGTGAAGTTAGTCATCAGAGCATGAAATGGATGAGGTTATTGAGAAGGTTGAGGGAGAAGAGAAAGAGGGACTTGGGGAAACCCCTTAGGGATGGAAATTCTGAGCAGATGGACCACGGAAAGTAGCCCACTGAGGCACGAGCAGGAGCGGGGCTCCTGAGGAACTTGCCTAACCCGTTACGTCAGCGTCGGAGAGTGTGCTTCACCCTCTCTCTATGGCCAACATGGGATTTGTTTTCAAATCACAGCATCCAAAGGAGGTTAGCAAACTTGGATGAATCTAAGCTGGCACTGATATCTAAGAGGCTCAGTCTGAAGGGTGATGCAGAGAAACGGGCTTCTTGAGACAGGTGGCCCCTGAAGTGTGTGGCAGGGCCCCGATCCCTGGAGCAGTGTGCCTTGCCCACATCTGGGGACACCTGGATGGAACACAGGTCCTGAGGCGTTGGGGCTAGCCACGACGCAGGTTGTCAGGGACTGTTCGAGGCTGGCCTCCACTCTGCCAGGGAAGCTGAAGTGCCATAAACTGGGTATGAGAACCGCTCCGAGGTTGGGAGTGCAGCTGCAGGTCCGTGGGTCTGCAGCAGGCCACGACTGTCCGCAAGCAATGGGAGCCACTGAGCTCAGGGCAACTAAAGCAAATTCAGAGCGTTGGAGGCTGCCAATACATTGCCGGCCTCCGAGAGAAGTGACTTAGAAACAGGATAGAACCGAGCCGGTGGGATCTCAAGACTTGAAGTTGAGTAGACAGTACAAGGCAGGAAGTGATCGGTTTGGAGCAAACTACTTACATGTTCTGTGCATTTGGGCAAGTTAATCAACCTCTCTGTGCCTCAGTTTCTCCATTATAAATAGGAGATAACGACGGCACCTACCTCACAGGTTTATTATGAGGATTAAGTGAGTTAATATCTGTAAGATTTCAGAGCAGTGCATGCCACACATAATAAGAACTTGTTATATAAATAAAACACTTTCATATCCTTTATATCTTAAATGCCACTTCTTCGGGGAAGCCATCTAAGACACACCCAAGACAAGGCTAGGTTCCCCTTTTATGTGATTTCATAGTGCTCCGTACTAAGTGCTGGCACACAACAGATTCTCAATAAATATTGTTGAATGAATGAACGAATGAGGATTGCGTCGTCTTCTGAATGCCCAGCATGTGGCGCAGCCCGACACAGGAGGTGCTCCTTAAGTGATGGCTACACTGAACTTAACTTGAACTCTAGAGAGAGCCCTAAACCGAAACTATAGATTTGGGTCTTGTCACCACACAGGTGTTCGTTACAGTCATGGGAGCCGATGCAGGTATGCTGTGAAAAATATTAACAAGGGTATGGCACAGACCCGGCTGATCAGAAGGGAGATGCCACAGCAGGTCCTGGTGGCCCCACCCCGCCAAGTGCCATCCCTTTAGTTTCTGGACCATGGGGAGCCTCAGAGATCCTGGAGAAGGGTGAGGCGCTTGGGCTGCAGGTGCGAAGTATTTGGTTGGCTCAGAGTAGAGGTTCTTTCCCACCAGGTGAGGAAATATTGCACTATATTAACAACAGCATGGCTTCACAGGTGCAAAATGGCTGAGTGTCAGCCCTGGGCCCTGAAAAGAATGTGAGGTAGGAAGAGGTTGACAGGAAGAGCAATCCCGGGAGCACGGTGTTTAAGAGACTCGCACAAGAGGAAATTCCTGCGAAGGAAATTGGGAATGATTGAGCAATGGAAGGGGATTTTCTTGGATTTTGTCCTAAAATTCAAGAAGACTTCTGGAAAAGCTAGTCTATGGTGTCAAATGCTGTAGTAACCACAAGTCTATGGAAGAACAAAGGCTGTCGCTGGGGACATCTGTATTAAACTGGTGGCAGTTCCCAGAACGATGTCCCAGGATGCTGAGGGCCCCCAGGATGCTGATTTACTGGAACGAAGAGTAAGTGAGAAATGAAGACGGATCTGCAGGTATCTTCTCTCTGGAGAGACAAGGTTATTTGTCTTGGTTAGAGACGGCTGCTAGTGTCAAGAGAGTGCCTGGCTGTTTATTAATTTACATGTTTGTTTGTGAAAAGAGAGACCCAAGCATACTTAAAAGATATGAAAGGGCCGTTAGGAACGGAGTATCTGGAAATATTGAAGCAAGGATAATTAAGAGATTTTAATTATAAGATTGCTGTTTTTTGCTGTCTGGGGGAATGTAAAGCCAGGAAAAGGAATACACACATTTTCAAATATGCATGTATCATTCATGAAGTTGATTCTATTCTGAGACCCATGAAGGTGCTTATTAAGTTATTAGGTCCTGAAAGGGGGAAATTTCATATACCGTATTTCAGAGAGCAATGTAACAATGCCTGGTCAGAAGGGAACACGAGTGGGAAAAAATAAGCAATGAAAATAACAGACTTACAGGATACTGCCAAATAGGAGCTTGGAGGAAAAATAAATTGCTCTAGATATTACTGTATTCCTAATAAAGTATCTGAGGCATTATAAAGGACATCTGTACTTAAAATCACTCTTTAAAAATGCAGAAAGTAACCAGCCAATTAAGAAGGAAGAGGGAGATAAAATGGAAAAATGGAAAAAAAATGGAAATGGAAAAAAATGGAAAAAGAAAACACAAAAAGCAAATATGGTAAATGTTTTAACACACGCTAAGACAATATATGCAATTCATAGTACCGTCTCTGCAGATGACATCACAGAGCATAAAGAACAGATGGCAAAATTTAAAATAGGAGAAGAAGGGCTGTCACTTATTAGTCAGCTCCTATAAATTATCTCTTATCTTCATGACAACCTTGTAATAGAGATCATTTTTTTCCTTCATTTTACTTGTAAGGAAACTAAAGCTCAAAGAGAATATGAACTTAGTTATCAATAAAGCTGTTTTCTCTACACCAGGTTGTCCCTGTCGGGAAAAAGAGACAAACAAGGCAGAGAAACGTGAGGGGAAAATGTTAAGGGTGACAATGGTGAGCTCACAGCCCAGATTTTTATGCACCGTTCAAAGCGATCATTATAAAAAATGATTAGAATTTAGTCGAAAATAGAATTACCTATGATAGACATATTATTAACATTTGAATAGTATCTTGGTGTTTTCTTTGGATTTTCTCCAGGAGTGTCTACTGCGTGCTTTGTTTTTACCCCAATTATTTCATTAAATCTTCACAAAATTCTGAGAATGGCATTTGTATTTATTCCTATTTGACAGATGAGGAAAGTGAAGACTAGAAAAATTAATGACTTGCCAAGGATCATAGAGCAAGTCAATGATAGAGCTGGGACTCATTCTAATGTCTAATATCTGGTGTTCTCATACCACAGGATTTTTTTAAAGTTAAATCTATTTTTTTAATTGACCTATAATTCACATACCACAAGAAATTCACTCTTTTAAAACATACAATTCAATGATTTTCAGTATTTTCACAAGGTTGTGCAGCCATCACCACTATCTAATTCTGGAACATTTTCACAACCCCAAAAGAAATCTGGTACCCATTGGCAGTCACTCTCCTTTCCCCAGCCCCTGGCAGCCACTAATCTACTTTCTCTTTCTACGGATTTGCTCAGTCTGGGCATTTCATATGAACGGACTCATATAAATGTATGGCCTTTTGTGTCTGGCTTCTTCCACTCACCATGACGTTTTCAAGTTTCATTCACGTGGTAGCAAGTATCTCAGGATTTAAGAGTTAGGAGACAACTTCTACTGAATCCACTCACTCTACAGATGGAGAACTGAGACCTAGGGCAGCCCATATATTTAGTGGCATTCAAGTCTCCTACCCCCAGTTCTGTATTATCTCCTCCACATCAAGACCACCAAGACAGTCAGTATAATGAAGGGGAGATTCCACAAACAGCTTAACATATGATGTTAATTTGATACACATACATTAGAAATAACATATGGTAAGAAAACCTGATATTTTATTAAATATTTTCAATTTTTGTAAGGAGTCCCATAAATCACGTATTGCATGTGACACCAGAATGGTACCAGATGCTCGTGTAGGAAAACAGGGCATAACTGCCACAGCATGCTACATGAGGTCAAGTTAGATTTCACTCTCTATGTATAAAGGTAACTAATTAAAAACAAAGTGTGAATTACCCTCAGCGAAAGTTCCAAATTTTCTCCTCCCCAGAGATTCATGTCCTTGTCGTACCGTCCAATCTCATTAAAATACTGCCTATCTATAGCAAAAATTCCTCCAGCCATTGCAGGTGACCTAAAGAGGACACATAAATATTAAATTGATTCCACAGATTTAGTCATTCTGGACTTTTGCCAAAATTATATTGAATATTAGCAATAGCAATTAAAAACTAAAAAGCAATGATATTAACTAACATCAAAATTATCTTAATATAGCTTTAAGTATGTAAAATTACTAAATTACAACTATAGCTACCTAAAAGTAGGCAATAACTTTTACTTAGCTCTCACCACATTATGTAAGTAATATATTCTACACATCGTCTTGGTGAGAGGGAAAATTATCTTTAGAATGTGAGTTCCCCATGGGAAGATGATTCAGTTGAGGAGTGGAGTTTAGAAATCTTTCTCCCCAAGGAATTAAGTGAATTGTAATATTTACTTCTGGGAAAACCATAATATTACAAAGCATCTTTTTTGGTCCACCAATAGGAGGGCCCAATAATACCAAACTAAGTAGTTTGAAAATAATTACATTTTCATTCCTTCATTTGTTCAAAAAAGCATATATTAAGCATCTATGATGTGTTAAGGATAAGTTAGTGAATCAACAGGCAAAGGTGGAATTAGGGCCCTCAATTTGAGGTTATTGCAGTGGTCTCAGAGAAAAACAATGGAATCTTGGATAAGGGTATAGCAATGAAGGTGGTGAGATGTGGCCGAAATCTTGATAGATTTTGAAGATGGAACCAGCAGATCTGCTTATGCGTGGGGTGTTCGATGTTCCAGGAAGAGGTGAGTCAAGGCTGACTTCAACGCTTTTGGCCTGGGTACCTGGAAGGTGGAGTTGCTGTGCACTGAGATGGGGAATGCTGTGGGCGGAACAGGTTTTTGGGGGAAGGTTGCATTTTGGACATGTTTGAGGTGTCTATTCAGCATGCAAGTGGAGATGCCAGTAGGCAGGTGGATAGATGAGTCTGGCATTCCGAGAGAGGTCAGGGCTGGAGGCATAAATACAGGGGTCATCAATCTAAGATCGGTGAGAATCACTCTGTGAGTGAGAGGAGTGGAGAAGAGGACAAAGGACTGAGCCTTGGGCACTTGAACAATAAGAGGTCAGAGAGAAGAGGAGGGATCAGCAAAGGAGATGGGAAGGAGAACCAGAGAGACAGGAGGAAGACCAGGTGGTCTGGAGGCCAGGGGAAGACTGGGTGTGAAAGAGAAGGGAGAGGTCAGCAGCATGGAACACTGCTGACAGACCAAGTGAGACGAGGCCAGAGAACGGAATATTGGACTTAACAGTGTGAAGGCCATTAACAAGTTTCAGCTGGGGGCGAGGGGCAAAGCCTGAGTACAGTGCATTTAAGAGACAAGAGTAAAGAGTTTAAGAGAATTGGAGACAGTGACACAGACAACTCTTTCTGAGGGCTTTCTAGAGAAAAGGAAAAGAGAGGTAGCTGATAAAATAAGGTTATTTTACTTATTTAATTTTATTTTTTTTGAGGAAGATTAGCCCTGAGCTAACATCTGCTGCCAATCCTCCTGTTTTTGCTGAGGAAGACTGGCCCTGAGCTCACATCCGTGCCCATCTTCCTCTACTTTATATGTGGGACGCCTACCACAGCATGGCTCGTCAAGCGGTGCCATGTCCGCACCTGAGATCCGCATCGGCGAACTCCAGGCCTCTGACGCAGAACGTGCGCACTTAACCGCTGCGCCACTGGGCTGGCCCCTATTTTATTTTTTCAGTCGCAAGAAATAAGAGCATGTCTATATTCTGAAAGGAGTGATCCCGTCTGGTACACTGGATGATGTCACCCTGTCTGGTACGCTAGAAGACTGTGATTACACGCAGGCCAGAAAGCCTCGTGGAAAACTCTTGCTCCCCTGTCACAGCACTGTATTGCAATTATATTTTTACCTGCCTTCCTTCCCTTTAGAATACACACCTTTGAAGGCAGGGGTCACGTTTTCTATCATCAGTACGATGCCTCACACACAATAGGTACTCAGCAAATACCTATTAAATTTACACGTTAAGTAATTTCACAAAACAGTTCTTAAAGTTATGCCATTGGTCCCATTGAAAAAAGGGCAAAAATATGTGCCACTCAAAGAATTCAAATTCCGCCTTCCTCTCAAGGGAGAAAGCTTTTGTCCTAAAACTCTTGAAATCGCTGGGCAGTGTGTGTCTCTCAGTGGGAGCAGTGTTGCACGGTGGTGGTAGCTCAGCCGATGGTCTGAGACAGCAGCAGAAAGTGAAACGGGCCACGTTATGTCCTTAGGAAAGGCCCTGGGTGGAGCAGAGGAGCCGTCCCCGGGAATGCTGCTCCAGCACGTCCCTCCCTGGACCACCAGGTGACCGCAAGACCACCACCATCCTTGCCTGTTCTAAGTTTCCCAAAACTCATTGTCATTAGAACTATTGCAAGTGGGAGAAAAAAGTATCTTCAGATTTGAACACTAATTAACACCATGGCTAATATCTAAAATTTATTTTTTTTAACCCTTTAAAACAACCTATTTTTCTTACATATATTGTTATACCTTATAATTGATATATTAAAATTATAACACATATGATGTGTATAATATCTATTCTCTATATAAACATGCATACACATATATAATCACACAATTGGTATCATACTGATATAATTTGTTTATAGCCTGATTTTTTATTTAACATATTGTGAGAATTTTCATTTTTAGTTAATTAGCCTTCAAAAACTTTAACTATGTAGAATTCCACAAAACATGAATATACTTTGTTAACCATTTCAATATTGAACATTTTATGTTGTTTTGATTTTCTTACTGATACAAATATTGATACAATATACAAGTCTGTACTTATTTCTCATTAACTCCTTAAGGATAAATTCCAAGAAGTGGAATTATTGCATTAAAGAATAAGAACACTGGGGAGGCTGGCCCCGTGCCGAGTGGTTAAGTTCGCGCGTTCCGCTGCAGGCGGCCCAGTGTTTTTCGTTGGTTCGAATCCTGGGCGCGGACATGGCACTGCTCATCAAACCACGCTGAGGCAGCGTTCCACGTGCCACAACTAGAAGGACCCACAACGAAGAATATACAACTATGTACCTGGGGGCTTTGGGGAGAAAAAGGAAAAAAAAAAATAAAATCTTTAAAAAAAAAAAAGAATAAGAACACTGGGGCCGGCCCCGTGGTCTAGTGGTTAAGCTCATGCACTCTGCTTCGGCAGCCCAGGGTTTCACTGGTTTGGATCCTGGGTGCCGACATGGCACTACTCATCAGGCCATGCTGAGGCAGTGTCCCACATGCCACAACTAGAAGGACCCACAACTAAAATATACAACTATGTACTGGGGGGATTTGGGGAGAAAATGAAGCAGGAAAAAAAAAGATTGGCAACAGCTGTTAGCTCAGGTGCCAATCTGAAAAAAAAAAAAGAATAACATTTATAAGGTTTTTAACTTATATTGCCAAGTGGTTTTCAAAAAGCATGTAAAATGTACATACACTAACAGCATATTAGAATTCCAAAACTGTTGCTTTTCAGTATTTAAATATTAAGAATACTATTTCCCTGTTGAAATTCTTAGAGCCTAAAAAATACTAGATATGAGAGATGTGGAAATATTATAAAAATTATAAGTTAATTTTTTTGTTAAGTGGAACACCACAGATACTTCTTGTTAAAAGTAACTTTATTTTAAATTATTTTGAGATGAACTCAAAAGATTTATGCTTTATTTTTTTTGAGTAAATGAAGATTTTTACATAATACATTTTATTTAAATGAGGTATATCTTCGTTCTTTTTCATTCTGAAGTCTGTAACATTAACAATAGCTACCATTTATACAGATCACTTCCTCTGTGTCAGGCCTTAAACTATGAGCTTTACAAGCATTGGCTCATTTAATCCCCTCAAAAATTCAGAGAGGTAGGAGGTAGGTATTATTATTATCATCACCATTTTACAGGTGAAGATACTGAAGCTGAGAGAGGTAACTGGCCCAGCTAAGGGATGCCTTCATACACAACCCCAGGGAAGCTAGTCACCTATAGCCTCTGTGAACAGTGCCTCCTGGAAATGTGCAGTGCACAGCCTGTGCAGTACATGGCAGCCCTAAACAGCTAACAAGTGATGGCTGAAGCAGAGGAAAGAGCAGTGGAAGATCTTTCACACACAGTGGAAGATGTGTGAAGGAATCTGCACATTATCCTCAAAAGCAATGGAAAGATAATAAGCAAGATTGGTGACGTGCAAAATAGGATTTAGAAAAAATTAATGTAGCAACAGAGAGATTGCAATGAGGGAGGCCAGGCCTGTAGGCCAGACTGTCCGTCATGGTGTAGAGTCTGAGCCTGGGGCAGTGAGGGCCTGGACCGCGGGGACAGGCAGAGGGATGGAGAGATGTGATGTAAAAGTCATCCCAAGGATGGTTCTTCTGGAGCTGGTTAATCCCTGGGCTAGAGCAGGCAGTGGGAGAGTTGAAGACGGCGATACAGCGTTCATATGTGGTCACACTTAACGGCTGCATAACATCCCATTCTGAAAGTGCGACATATCTCCTCCCAATTCTTAGGTGGTCTTTCTTTCATCCTTGAATGAGGAGGCCAGGTTGCTTACTAAGAGGAGGGAGTCGGGGCAGGGGCAGGCATTGGGACTAAGGGGAGCAATACAGGTTTGGCATACCCACTTCGGGGGACGCGTGGATAAAGGGATGGCAGAGCATGCAGGGCGCTAGTGGGGGATGCCGCAGCTGAAGGCACTGGCAAGAAGAGAAGTGAATTAAAGATCAGAAAGTCTGGACAACAGAAGAAGAAAGAACACCGTGAGAAGTAAAAGGAGAAATCAAAGATCTGGAGATCTCGATGATGTCCAAAGGGAGGTGTGGGTGGAGCAGAGCAGGAAAAAGCTAGGAGGGTCCTGGGTTATGGCCAAAGAGAGGGATATCTGGTAATTTAGAAGATGGAAGGTGCAGGATACAGCTGGAGGAATAATAATAGCTAACAATTATAAAATAGCCAACATTTATACAGCACTTATTATGGACAGATGCTCTTCTAAGCTTGGATACGTCATTTACCTCTCAGAACAGCTCTGTTATTCTCCAGACTTTATGGACAAGGAAACAAGGCACAGAGAGGTTAAATAACTTGCACAAGATCATCCAGCTCTAGCTGAGTTAAAGTAGAGGTCAGTACGCGGGACTCGCTAGGCTATGGTATTGGAAAATTTACTCATGTGGTTTGTGAAATAAAGAGGTTAACAGCAAAAGAAGAGACATGAGCTTGGCGTCAAAGTTATCAGTTAATGTGAAGAGTGACCTGGAGGAAGTCTCTTCAGAAACAGCCTCACAAATGCAGTTAAGAGTCACAACATTCAAGCTGTTCTCTCATTCAGAAGTACATTACCTAAGACTGATAATCTAGGAAAATCACATTTATCTCAACCACAAAATCACAGGTGGAAGCACTTGGATAAATGTTTTATAAATGAATTTGACAAAGATAGCGATGTTTTCTGGGCTATCCACAGTGCTGATAGTTTGTTCATTGATCGACATACGACTTGCTCCTGAGAAGCAAGTCCACATTCCAAGATGGACATCCAGAATCAGAGGGATACCAGCCATGGTGGTGTTCTGAACCGGGGTGAGATGCTCACTTTCATTGGCAGAAACTCAAAACCTACCAAATTCTATTGTTATAGACTTTTAGAAACAAAATACATAACAAAGTATTTCTCTTTATTAAACTCAAGAAATCAAAGGAATAATCTCTGGAAGCTTCTTTCCCCACACCACCCCCCAACCAGTTCCCAACACATATGCACCCTGTCTCTATCACCAGAAGTCTTACCGGATGGGTGCAATGGGTCCTTCCGGTCCGTCCATCTCATAAGAGAAAACATTATCCCATTTAAATTGTAGATGCCAGTTGAAAGCTCCCCTTACAACAGGAGAGGGCTTGTATTTCAGTGTCATGTAATCAATGACATCTATCAGAGGACATACTACCATTTTGGGGTCTTTGGCAATGGCGAGCAACAAGGGTTCCAGCCACACTTTATTCACCTCGCAGTGGCTATCCAGGAACACCAGAACATCCCCTGGGGAGACAAGAACAGACTAGCGTTAGTGCCTATGGATGAAACATCTGACAACTGGAATCAAAGTTCAACACAGGGCCAGCCCCGTGGCCAAGTGGTTAAGTTCGCACGCTCCGCTTTGGCGGCCCAGGGTTTCACCAGTTCGGATCCTGGGTGCGCACATGGCACCTCTGGTCAGACCATGCTGAGGTGGCGTCCCACGTGCCACAGCTAGAAGGACACACAATTAAAATATATACAACTATGTACTGGGGGGCTTTGGAGAGAAAAAGGAAAAATAAAATCTTTAAAAAAAAAAAGTTCCGCACCGCGAGTCTTTGTGGAGCATTTACTATGTGTTTGGCTCTTTCAGTTTCATTATGGGAAGACAAGAAACACATATTTTCCTTTGTACCAAAGATGTGGCACACCATGTGCCATAGATATTCGGAAGACGTTGGTGAACTGTGGGTTACAGAGCGGTTTGGGGAAGATTCTAAAGAGGCAGGTGGAACTGAGCAGGTCTTCAATTGAAAAATATCATTTGAACTTGGCCTTGATCAATCAACTCAATTTAGCAATGCTTACTGTCAGGATACCTTCTTAGGTATTTCATTTGGTGCTTGGGCTGCAGAGACGCATAATTATTTTTGCTCTTGAGGTCAAGCTTTAATGAGAGTCTATTCTGCTTAGAGAACACGGGAAAAATTGGCATGGCCAAATAAAGAACATATGTTGTTAAAGTACATTAGATGGGCTCAAATTGGAAGGGACCTCAAAATTCAGGCGCAGAGTTTAGACTTTTTCTCATAGCCAACATAAAATCATATGAAAGCACAAAAAACATCACATGTTTACATCAGAAGACAATATTGTTAAAATGGCAATAATCCCCAAACCGATCTACAGATTCAATGCAATCTTTATCAAAATCCCAGCTGGCTCCTTTTGCAGAAGTTGATCCTAAAATTCATACGGAAAGGCAAGGGACCTGAGTTAGCTAAAACAATCTTAAAAAGAAGAGAAAAGTTAAAGGAAGTTGAAGGACTTCCTGATTTCAACAGTTACTATGAAGCTATAATAATCAAAACAATATGATGCTGGTGTTAGTATAGACATATAGACCAAAGGAGTCGAATTAAGGGTGCAGGAATAAATCAAACATCTATGGTCAACTGATTCTTGACAAGGGTGCCAAGACAATTCAATGAGGAATAAATGGTCCTGAGACAATTGGATACCCACATGAAAAGGAATGAAGCTGGACCCCCTACCTCATGCCAAACACAAAAATTAGGTCAATTGGATCACAGACCTAAAAAGGTAAGAGCTAAAACTATACAACTTTTAGAAGAAAACATGGGCGTATGCTTTGTGACCTTGGGTTAGACAGCTTCTTAGATATGACGCCAAAACCACAAGCAACAAAAGAAAAATATAGATAAATTGGGCTTCATCAAAACAAAAACCTTTTGTGTATAAGTAAACATCACCAAAAAATAAGAGAGATTATTTGCAAATCACATATCTGATAAAGGACTTGTATTCAGAATATATAAACAACTCTTACAACTTAATAATAAAAAGACACCTTTGTTAAAAATGGGCAAAAGATTTGAATAGACATTTCTTCAAAGAAGATATACAAGTGGCCAATAAGGATGTGCTCAACATCGTTACTCAGTAGGGAAATGCTAATCAAAATTACAATGAGATATCACTTCACATTCACTAGGATGGCTGTAATCAAAAAGACAGGCAATAGCAAGACATGGAAGCAACCTAAGTGCCCAGCAACTGATGATTGGATAAAGAAGATATGGTGTATATATATACAATGGAATACTACTCAGCCATAAAAAAGGACAAAATCGTCCCATTCACAACATGGATGGACCTTGAGGGTATTGTGTTAAGTGAAATAAACCAGATAGAGAAAGACAAACTCTGTATGACTCCACTCATGGGTGGAAGTTAACATATAGACAAAGAGAACTGATTAGTGGTTACCAGGGGAAAGGGGGGGTGGGGGGGAGGGCACAAAGGGTGAAGTGGTGCACCTACAACGTGACTAATGATAACGTACAACTGAAATTTCACAAGATTGTAAACTATCATAATCTTAATTACAAAAAAATAAAAAGACAGGCAATAGCAAGTGTTGGTGAGATTGTGGAGAAATTGGACCCCTTGTCCTTGCTGAAGGGAATGTAAAATGTTGCAGCCACTTTCAAAAATTATTTGGCAGTGCCTGAAAAGTTAAACATAGAGTTACCATATAGCCCAACAATTCCACTCCTGGGGAGCATGCATACACCCAAGAGAAATTAAACTTAGTTTCACATGAAATCTTGTACATGAATGGTCAGAATAGCATTATTCCTAATAGTAAAAAAGTGATAACTCCAATGTCCATCAACGGATGGATAAACAAAACTTGGTGTATCCACACTGTGGAATATTATTTGGCCATAAAAAGGAATGGAGTACTGATACAAGCTACAACATGGATGACCCTCGAAAACATTACGCTAAGTGAAAGGAGCCAGTCACAAGAGACCACATATTGTATAATTCCACTAAGTGAAATGTCCAGACTAGGTAAATCTATACATATAGAAAGGAAATTAGGGGCTGGCCCTGTGGTGTAGCGGTTGAACCTGGCCCACTCTGCATCGGTGGCCTGGGTTCGTGGGTTCAGATCCCAGGCGTGGACCTCCACCACGTGTTAAGCCATGCTGTGGCAGTGACCCATGTACGAGGTGGAGGAAGATTGGCACAGATGTTAGTTCAGGGCTAATCTTCCTCAAGCAAAAAAAAAAAAAAAGAGAGAGGAAGATTGGCAATGGATGTGAGCTCAGAACGAAACTTCCTCACCAAAAAAAAAAAGACAAATGAAAGTAAATTAATCATTATCTCCAGTTTGGTGAAGGGGAGGGGCAACAGGATGAAAGGGAATGGTGAGTGACTGCCAATGAGTATGAGGTTTCTTTGTAGTGGGACAAAAATGTTCTAAAATGAGGTTATGGTGATGGTTGTACAACCCCATGAACATACTGAAAAACATTGTATTGTATGCTTTAAATGGGTGAATGATATGGTATGTGAATTATATCTCAATAAAACTGTTAAAATCTTTAGGGAAGAAAGAGCCATATTGGAAAGAAAGAGTACATCCTCCAAATCTTACTATAAAATACAACTATTCTTCTATATGATTCGTAACAGAATTTTAAATCATTAAAAATGATAGAAACTTTATCCCTCAGCTCACATCACTGGTTTCTTAACTATCCATCCAAAATAGTGTCTACACAGACAAGCAAATGCTCATGTGTATTTATTCTACCAGCTCCTTGAATAAGCAGGACTCTTGGGAAAAGTGACTTGATTTTGTTCCTTTAAATGCACAGGGAGGAATGGTCCTTTCCTTGCCCTTGGTTACAGACCAGAGCAGGCTCCAAGTCTACTCCACTTGCTCTTGGGTTATGGAAAGTCTTAGACGGCAGTCACGTTCAGTTGAAAACACAGTCTCAGTCCCGCGATTAGAGTCTCCAGGCCCAGGCTACCATGCGACTTCCTTACCACACGTGGACCGCTCATCGTCCTCCCCGCACCACGAGGCAGCCCTGCAGGAAGGCCGCTTGCTTTTGGATTAGTCTTCTCATCTCTTCCTTGCTCTTCTCCTTCCCTAGCTGGCTGCCTGCGGTTTCTGACCTCACTAACAGCCTAAGGAGAGTGAGAGAGGAGAAGAAAATGGGGCAGGACAGTTCTTTCCTGGTAAGACAGCGGGGTGCTCTCGGAGCTGATGCCCTCCCTCTGGGTGTGGCCGGCAGGGTAATCTTGAGGAGCCCCTCCCTTCCCATCCCTGGTTGTCTCTTATCTGCAGTTTCCTTCAGCTGGGCAAATGCATTTTATTTGGGCGGTCCAGACGCCCTCCTCTGCAACTTAGGGTCCCGTGTTCGACCTCTAGCCTCTCCTCTGCTAGACCCTGTCCATCCTTCCAGAGAGTCCCATTGGGCACGCTCTAAGGTGATCTTTACTGCTCTCCCACTCAAACATCCATCGCCTGAGGATATTCTGCCGTTGATACAGACACTAACAGGGAAGCAAATGTCGTTGGTCCTGCAGCCAGCCACAGCTCTTCTTTTGCCCTTTTGACAAAAGGCAAGAAGCCAACGATAGTCTACTTCTCCTCACACGCATATATTTCTAATTTTGTTGTCTTGATGTCTGAGAATGCGCCGAATCCCCAGTACGGGAAATTCACATCGAGTCCCCTCGCCAGGCTTCGGCGAGCAGCTTTCTCCAAAAATCATCTCTAATTCTAACCATCTGACTCACCGTGGCTGAGTTATCTTATTGCTTCTCAAACATCTATTTTAAAATTTCTTCACGGTGGTGTGTCTGACAACTCACTCTGGAATATACGTCTGCTGTCTTCATGCCTCAATCAAAACTGAGCTAGAGTCCTATTTTGAACTTACATAATTTTTCATACTATTGGCAGCACACACACTGTTCAACACTTTGCATTTTTCACTTAAAAATAGCTTCTATGTTATATAACGTTAACATTTAAAAATTATGTCTGCTAATTTGATAGGTGAAAAACAACATCTGGTTCTCCAAAAAAGATATACAAGTGGCCAACAAGTACATGAAAAGATGCTCAGCATCATCCGTCACTAAGGAAATGCAAATTAAAACCACAGTGAGGTACCACTTCATATCTACCAGGATGGCTAGAATTTAAAGAAAACAAACTCAGAAGACGGAAGATAAGGAGTGTTGGTGAGGATGTGGAAAAATTGGGACGCTCGTACATTGCTGGTGGGAATGTAAATGGTGCAGCTGCTATGAAAAACAATTTGGCAGCTCCCAAAAAGTTAAACAGAATTACCATATGACCCAGTAATTTCACTCCTAGGTACATATTCAAACGAATTCGGACAGACACATGTATGCACACGTTCATAGCAGTACTCTCTACAACAGCCCAAAGGGGAGACAGCCCAAAT